AGAGAGAGTGAAGAGACATCTCCCATCAAAAAATTGTGTGTTCTGTAAGCTTACCAAGTGAGCACATACTAAGAAAACAGATAACAAAATTGTATATTTTCAAAACAATGAACTATATGATATAAATATTTAAGAAGCTTCCACACAGCCAGGACTGTACATGTGGCAGCTACTGCCTCGTTCACAGAACAAAGATGAAAACTGTGGGAAATGTGCCAAGATTACTGTAGAGTTGCTAGTCTTTTCTAAAAAAAAAAAAAAACTGCTCTATTAAACTGTGAAAATATTATCATTATTCCTAGCTGGCCCGAATATAGAAAAATGGTAGATACAAAGACTACAACCTATATAGAGAAAATCTCCAAGACCACCAAAAAATGTATCAAAACAGGACATCCAGATATGGGTTCACAATAATGTGGAGAAACAGTTTTAAGCGACTAATTGTGTTAACAAATTTAAGAAGGTAAAAAATTCCTCGAGTCTGACCACAACTGACAAATATATTTGTTTTTAAATTAGGATTTTTGTATTCATCGTAAAAATCCTTTTCTTTTCAGAGACATTAGGTTATACTGCCACCTACAGGAGGTTTTGGACACTGACAAAGGGAAAAAAACAAAACAAAACAGTGGCCAGTCAGGTATAACCCCTCTCCATTCTTAGCATGCCTTAGTATTGTAACAAGCAGTGTCAAGAGCAATCTGTGCATCTAACACTACCCTCTCCACAGGGTGACAATGTTGCTGTCCAAAAGGTGACTGCGCTGCTCCTCCATAAAGTGAAGTCACCCTAGGAGGAAGTATGTTACTGGCAGAACAAAAGATGTCAACAGGGACGCAAAAATATTAAACAGCAGTAGGGATGATGGGCAACCCTGGTACATGCCTTTTTGTGCCATGTGTTGGAGAACTTTCCACAGCCACTGCTAGTTTACATTGTGAAATGGCTTATTCGCATCCAGGGCCAAAAGTGTCATGGACTGCAGAAAAGGGGCAGACCATCAGAAATGTTCTATTACCATCCTGAGCTTGCAGACATTTATCACTGCTCTACCCAATATGAAGCTTTGATGAAAGCGGTCCAAATCTTTTTGCCATTATTTTAGATAACAGTTTTACACCCTAATTAAGTAAAATAATCTGCCTATAGCAACTAGCAACCTGAGAATCTTTGTCTTTCTTTGGCAGTAAACAAACACTGGTTTCATTTCCTATAGAGGCATAGACTTCTGAAAGGATGTGGTTAAACAGAGACCAAAGAGGTACCATCAGGTACTCGGAGAGACTTATAAATATCTGAAGTCAGACCATCTCGAAGCGAACACTGGTAGATCGCGATCGCCTCACTTACCTGAGCTCACTGCTCGTGCAGCTGAATGTCAGACGCTGCAGACAGAAACGGGTGGGACACCTCTCTGTCTGCACATTCGGTCATGCGAGCACCGGAG